TATACTGCATTAACTTCGGATGTGCACAATTATCCCACTAGAAATGATGGTAGTTTACACACTGCTAGGACTAATTAACATATGATATCAGTGTTTTTTAAGAATTTGATTAAATTTAACAACCCAACATAAGAAATTAAATCTAATGAATCTCTTGTAGGATTAAAAAAAGATTGGTTTTACTATTGGCACTAAATGAATTTATCTACCAAACTGTGCATTGTGAAGTACATATTGTTGTAAATCATGCCCTGAAGAAAATAACGCCGTCCGCCACTGGTAGCCATAAACTAATTGTGACGTAGCTAAGAGCGCGCGAATAAACGATGTTCGCTGCCGCTCTAGATGTAGCGAGAATAATACTACCGATTTAGATGGAATTCTGGCGAATTTTCTACCGCATTCGATTACGATATATAAACGCTAACCACGAACATATCGACACAGCCAAGTGGAAGTTACAGTGCGGTACGCGAATCGATCTAGTAAGGAGATAGACATTCGAATGATAGTTGAAGTTTTAGTTGAAGTGTTGTATTTGAAGTTAAATAAAGTTAAGTTTGAATAGTGTTCAGTGTAGTCAATTATTGGTCGACTCACGGGGAAAAACAATATTTTATATGAGTTAGACTTCATGCACAATTTCACGGTTATAGTTATTGATCTAATTTTATTCTTTACGAATAGTGGTGATGTATTAATTCCATCCAAACTGCATTGCGGTTTCAGTTGTCAAATAACTTCATCTAATAATAAAAACAAATTCATTTCAGTATTTTACTGTTATCATTTTATTGAAAACTAGCGATACGCTTCGTTTTCACACGGATAGGGCATATATGCATACATAGTATCGCATCAACTTGTAACTTGTAATTAATAATACTGACCTGTGATAAAGTTAACTCAAACAAAAGTATGTTCACAACTATCAATATTAATTAAAAAAAAAAGTACCTTTCTACCTGAAGACAACGAATAACAGAACAACTCAATTGCAACATTTTTTAATCACTTTTGTCGCATCAGTTTGTGAGACCGCTTGAATTAATTCTATTCGTTATTTTTTGAGTTTGTTCCATTTAGAGACAGATAGAAATATCAACACGGTAAATGTCTTTAATTTATGATACGTATTGATAACAGTTCATTAGATTATCACATAATAACTATAAGACACTAACTTTAAAAACAGACAGATGCGGCGGCGGATGATTTTGTTTTATAATATGTAGTGATACAGCAAAAGCAAACACGTTAAAAAACACACATGAAATCTTCTCCATCTTGATACCAAAAATTGTGGGAATCTTCCAAAGAAAGGAAGGAAGCAATCAATTTAAAAAAAGTAATTCCATACATAAATTTGTAGATCATGCAAAGGAGTAACTTTCAGACACAAACTTGAAGAAAAGTCTTCAAGAAACAGTTACCTTCATAGTAACATTGAATTACACGAAAGAAAAATACTTTCGAGACGAATACTATTGTATGAACAGTGAATTATACAAAAACACTTTTCTCTGTACAGTTTGTATTTAAAACATTCGTTGTGGAATTGAATCAGATATCATTCACAGGATTACTACAAAATATAGTAAATGAAAGAGGTAAAATTTCACTGGCAGACGTCCGATTTTTCGCCGTAAGACAATTGCCTTATCAGCTCTTCAGTACGAAATCTAGATAACATGAGAAAAAACACAATTCATTCATAAAACTACGACTTTACGTTACGGAATGAGTTTGATCTACTCATATCATCGATCACATCGTAATGAAATTCATTCGTTTATTTGATCAAATTCCAGCCAAAGGAATCTTGTTCAAAAATGTAGCCCTTTCAATTGAAATAGATGAAATCAGTTTTCAAAATAATAATCAATCCGAAATAAATAATTTTTGATTGATTGTCATTGTAAAATCATATAGTTATCTGTTAACTAATGCCATATTCGTATCATGTAATAACCTAAAATTCAAATTGAGAGGTAAATTTAACATGTGTTCGAGTCTGACCATTACTTTCATTGAAAATGGCCTGATAGTAGGTACAAGACTAATTATACTGTAGTTTGTTACGTAGATATATACTTTGAGTAATAACCTTTTACGTTTGAACATTTTTTTGGTTAATTCCCTTTTTTCAATTCTGAATCTAAAGAGATAACTTGGCAGACGATAATTGTGTAAAAAAATGGGTCTAGTTGCGGAGAAGCACCATTTTTAATATAGTCAAAAATCTGGAGTGAAATAAGATTATTGCGACTATCTATTATAATAAAAACTGGAACTCCTGGCGAGAAATAAATCCAAAACTAGCACTCTTCCCAAAAACCGGAACTTCAACATTATTCTCGACTTTTCTTTTTTCTTCATCCCTTGAAGGTTGGTGGTGAAACGCGTGTTGAGAAGAATACTGCAGTTCTGATGTTTAGGAACTGCTTGTTTTGGAAAACTATCTACTATAAAATTTCTGTTTCACGGTGTTTGTGGTCGTCTTTCGCCGAAGAGGCTCACTGATTTTCATTAAAATTTTGGTGTATATTTGGTAGGTATGAAAATAGGTCATAAAATATATTTGATTTTTTTAAAGATTTTTTTAATCTTTTTTTTAATTGGCATCAATTTTATTACAACATAGAAATTATTCATAGGTCAAAACAACTTTGTCCGGGTCAGCTAGTAGAACCATAATAAAATTGAATTTTCCTGTCCAGGAATATTACTGTGTTGTTCCTACTCCGGATAGTGATTGTCTTATCAAAAGTACCTACATATTTGAGGGTACGTAAAAAAACTATACAACAACAATGATAAATAGTAACGAAAATCGTAAAGTTGACGGGGGTTATACAATTTTGAAAAAAAACATATTTTGGCTAGACGCCTTCCTGAAACACGTAAGACCTTCCATCACTTTCACAATGGAGAAGGAAATCCACAACGAATTGCCATTCTTAGACGTTTTGGTGAAGAGGACCGACACTAAGTGGGAAACATCTGTATACCGAAAATCCACTCATACGGGACAGTATCTGAACCACGAATCCAACCACCATCAATCAACTAAAAGAGGAATCATCAAGACTCTATTAGACCGTGCTTTCTGGCTCTGTAACACGAAGGAAGGTCTCGAGAAGGAACTAGACATCATCAAAAATGATCTTCAACGGAATGGCTACTCCGAAGCGATGGTGGAAAAGATCTTGGCTAAAATACAGCAGGAGCTTAGCAAGGAAGAGAAGCCGTCACAACCAGTGCTTGCACTTCCCTACATCAGAGGATTATCGGAGAGGATAAGCAGAATTGGTTCCAAGTACAACATCAGAACCTGCTTCAGATGCTGTAACACTATCCGTAGCAGCCTCACGAAAACCAGGCCACCAAACGCGGACTGCGATTCCAAGAATTGCATCTACCGGATGCCCTGTGAGTGCAGAAAAACCTATATTGGTGAAACTAAGAAGCCATTGAATCTTCGCATTGCCGAGCACAAGCGTAGCGTAGCGCATTGCCAAGCCAGCGTAGAAATACGCAACATATGGAAACCCATCATCAAGCGAAAAATGGCCAACTCCAGCCAAACGGCCATCTCCCACTGAACCAGTGAAGCGGAAAAAAATGGAAAGCGGGGATAAGTGAAAGTACTCGAACGACCCATAAATAGTCATCTCTCGGAAGAATCAGTCCAGTCATCACCTGAAGACGATTGTGGATACTAAAAATCGAAACGTCGTGAACTAACTTGGCTTGAAATCTTTTAACTTTTTATTTTCATCTTTATTTTCATTTTGTATTTCTTTATTTTTATTTTTTGTTCAACTGTTGTATTTTTAGGTACTTGTATTTTATTTCACTATAATTTCATTTCAGGTTCGTCTTTTTCAGTTGTTTCAGGGATTTCAAATCATTTTATATATTAGACAATGCAAGTCCGAACTAGTGAAATTAAATTTCGTAACTGAAATTTCTCCCATTTAAAATGCTTTTTTCTCGAATAAGTATCAGAGATCTCTAGAATATGCATTCGAAATAGAGTTAACAAATTCCATTAAGACATTTTTTTTAATGAACCGTTCCAAGGATTAAAAAAATATTTTTGTATGCAATATATTTTTAGTACCTAAGTATAATTCCTGGGCTGTTCAAAAAATAAGGTGAATATTCAAATTTCGCGGGCCACATACAATCGATTGGTGATTTTTTTATATTTTTCATGTTGGCACCCTCATCTCGAACATATGTTCACTGTTTCAGCTGTTTAGCATGTTTGTTGTTGAGAGGCTTTCTCTAATTTATTTTGTCAACTGTATTTTTATGAAATAGACAAAGTATGGTGTATACTGCATTTGAACATTTTAAACTTTTTTGGTATTATTTTTTATTGTATGCATTGCTTGTTCGTAATTTTTTGGCCAGAAACAAAACCGTAATCATTACTCAGCCACCGTATTCACCAGATTTGCACCCCTGCGACTTTTTCCTGTTTTCAAGATTAAAGAGACCCATGAAAGGACGACGTTTTGCGACGATTGAGTAGATTAAAGTAGAATCGCTGACAGTGCTCAAAAACATACCAAAAAGTGCATAGCATAACTGCTTCGAAGGTTGAAAAGTATCATACCTGAGGGGGACTACCTTGAAGGGGATAAACGGAATAAATAAACTTTTTTCGAGGAAAATGACAATTCACTTCATTTTTTGAACACGGTAGTACATAAAACACGTGCGCTAGTCCAACTACCAACTACATACTTTCTTTTTGTCCAGTGTACATGGGAAGGTATTGGTGGATTATCTACTATTATGTTATTATAAACTCAAAATCGATTTGATTTTGAAAAGAGTGATATGTTTGTATGAATTGATTAATGATGTTTCCTCCAGTGTGTGGAATAGTTCGAAGTGCGGGTCATAGATTTGCGAAAAATGTCACATCGCTATTTCCAACATTGGGGTAAAAACGATATGTTGAAACTTCAATAGTTTCTTCTTACCAGAGCTCCGAATCGAACAGGGAAAACTTGTACGCAGATACCCTTCAACGCAGTTTCTCACCTTCAGTCTTTCAAAACAAGTAAATCCAGTTGAAACATGTGGAAATGTAATCCAATCGGAGTGGTGGCCCCATTCACGAGAAAACCATATGTCAAGTGACACCTTACACAAAAACACAAACACTGCTAACCCAAATTGAGGATTGTACAAGGGTCTATTGGCACGAACATTTTTAACTGGCACAAAGAATTCTGTAATGGTCTAAATTCTCGCGGTGCGTCACTTGATACCCGCGAAAGTTACTGTGTACGTAGTCGCGACCGCGGAGACTTGGAATACAGGTATTCCTACCTTTTCGTGACTGAATTACATGCGGCGTTGTCAAGTCATTTTTGTTGAAAGAATACTGAAAATAATATCGAAACTATACACTTCCCCATGATTTTTGTCCCACTCCCTATTGAAAAAATACAGCGATATTTCATTGACATGAATCATGCTGATTGAGTTATAAATGAAACTCTCCAAGTGTAGATACTGAAAAATCTAATGGACCTAAATCGGGTGATCTTGCGGGCCACTCCACTGGTCCTATTCGAGCGATACAAGTACCAGGGAGGATCTCATTCGAATACTGATGAAAAGCAGGTGGCCCAATCTAGTTGGAATGCCAGTTTGAACGAACGGTTTTTGTTCATGCAACATATATGACACCACCTCTTGCAAATCAGTGGCATAAATTGAAAAAACTACACATTGTTTCTACGAGTATCAATGGCATGTTCTCACGGCAAGTGGTATTTATCCCTCTTGCGATCCCACGTAATATTTTCCTCACCGTGAGTTCATTTTCTATTGACGGGCACCATGAGAAATTTACCTAAATACAGAATACATCTCGAAATCCTTATATTTATTTGGTAACGTGGGTAATGTTTATCCCGTTACCTCAAATGTTCATCGATTTTTCACCTGAGCTGTGATAGACAGATAGATAGATATACGATTAATGTCATAAGAAAAACATCTTTCCAAGACAAATTTTTCCGCTGAAATGTAACGTACAAGTATATAATATTAAGAAAAAATCAATAAAAAGAAAACACGTATTTGGTGTAAATATGTATGTTTTTCCATTAACAAGCTATCGCACCCCTACGAACGACAACCCTCAGTAGTTGAAACTTGTGCGAGCTAAGGACTAATGAGGTCTTACCTTTTAACGTGTGATTTCTAACACGGGTTGGACGTTAGCAAGTAAAAAATCATCGAGCGTTCAGCCTGCGGCTTTAACTATCGACTCACACATCGGCCGATTGACTAAGTGAACAAAGCAACCACGTGAAAGCGCCCGGCTACCCACCCCTGTAATGAAAAGAGAAGCTCCTTTCCATGTTAATTTATTGAAGGTACTAAAAATGTTACCTAAAGAGTGGCATAATTATTTTTACAATGGATAGTGAGTGATACTGTTCATGTTATCGCCAATAATTGAAAAGCAAGACACAATTATGAGAAATGTTATTCTTCCCCATGATAGACTAGTGGCCACTCTGAGATTTTTAGCAGGAAGAAGTTATGAGGATCTGAAGTTCTCTAGCATGACTTCACCTGAAGCATTGAGTTACAATATAGCGCGATCCACGCGAAAACTGAACGACTGGGCACATACGTTACGATTATCGACACAGTTTCCTCCGATTCCGATTTATATATCCAAAATTTCATACTACCCCGTACAACTGCACAATTTTATAAAATCGGAGAAACTGTACAGTTTTTCTCATACAGACATGTAGATTTATCGTTGCAATTTGAACTGTACCCTTCAATCGTAACGATTTTTCGTAACGTGTGTAGCAGTCATAAGGCATGTTTGGCGACACTAGATTCCTTCGGTCTGCGAAACCGAAACCAACTAATTTTTTCTTGCAATCCTCCATCATTTTCTCTTTCGTATTGCCTAACATTTATTGAAGTATACAAGCAGTTTTGAAAGCTGCTTTCATGTTTCATTTTTCAAAAATTCAAACCTATCGTTGGGGCATTTTGACTAGTTTGAAAGAACTATAAGCTTTGAGTATTCGTCTTTCTCAAAAGTTGTGAATATATGAAGGTACTCTTTAAATTTTTGTTTATCGGCCAAGCTGTACTGGAAATCGCAAGTTGAAATGCAATGCCTCGTTAATCTTTAGCTTGTACAAGTTTCGTCTTAGGAGGGTTAACAGTCGTGAAGGGGCGACAGTGCGTTAACGGAAAAACAGATTTTAAACAGTTGTTCATAACAGATTTTTTTTTCTAGATGTCGTACCTTAATGGAACCGTAACCAACCTATGTAGGTACAGAAAATGAAGGGCTGTTATTTTTTGTTGTGAACAATGGTGGGAGCTATCAGGGGTATATCTGAAAGTTCTACTATCTTTGCTATAAAAATTAAATTCTGAAACCTTATCGGCGTTAATTGCTACTACTACATCTAGTACTACATCTACATTCTTTTCATTGTTTCTTTTTTTGAAGCGTGAACTTTGTTTACACAAACTCCTCTATCTTACTCCTATTTATGTTGAAATAGCTAAATACATTTGTTTAAGGTGATTGACAATGTTTCATAATGAATTTCACTAGTTCGGACTTCCATTGTCTACTATATAAAATGATTTGAAATCCCTGAAACGACTAAAAAAGAAGAATTGAAAATGAATAGCTGAAAATAACAATTATATTAACCAAAATAAACCTGAAATAAAATAACAGTGAAATAAAATACAAGTAAAAATAGAACAATTGAATAAATAAAAATAAAGAAATAAAAAAAGAAAATACTAAAAAAGAAGAATTGAAAATGAATAGCTGAAAATAACAATTATATTAGGCAAAATAAACCTGAAATGAGATAATAGTGAAATAAAATATAAGTAAAAATAGAACAATTGATTAAATAAAAATAAAGAAATGAAAAAGAAAATGAAAATAAAATCCGAAGACGATTGTAGATACTAACAATCGAAACGTCGTGAACTAACGTGACTTGGAACCTCCACTTTTTATTTTCATTTTCTTTTTTCATTTCTTTATTTTTATTTATTCAATTGTTCTATTTTTACTTGTATTTTCACTATTATCTCATTTCAGGTTTATTTTGCTTAATGTAATTGTTATTTTCAGCTATTCATTTTCAATTTTTCTTTTTTAGTTGTTTCAGGAATTTCAAATCCTTTTATATAGTAGATAATGGAAGTCCGAACTAGTGAAATTCAGCTAAATACATCTTTCACGTATCCGATTCAATAATCACAAAAAGAAACTAGGGAAATATAGGTATAATTAGTCATGTGGATGCAAGGAACACATTTAATGATATCAAGAAATATATATTAGGTGGGCTGAAAAGATCGTACTCTAACATACAGCTGTTGGACTATTAGTTTGTGGGATAGAATATTTTGAATGAAGCAACTTTTGTTAGTTTGAAGCAAAAAAAGTTCACAAAATAATTTTGGATGACCGCAAAGTGGAGTTGGTCGAGATAACTGAGGCATCGAAGATATCAAAGAAACGTATTGAACATATCGTGCATAAATATTTGGGTGTGCAAAAGCTCTGTTCAAAAATCGACCAGAAACGACAACGAATTGATGATTCTAAGCAGTGTTCGAAGCTGTTCCACCATAAAAACCCAAATTTTTGCGTCGCTCTGTGACAATGGATGAAACAAAGTTCCATCATTTCATACCAGAATCAAAACAATTGGCATCTGAGTGGACTGCACGTGGTGAACCGACTCCAAAGCACGCAAAGACACACTAGTCAGCTGGCAATGCGCATGGTATATTCATCGACCATCTTGACAAGGGAGAAACCATCAACAGCGACTAGTACATAGCGTTATTGGAGCGTTTGAAGGACGAAATCGCGAAAAAACGACCCCGTTTGAAAAAAAAAGAAAGTGCTTCAAATTGCTTCCGCATCTACCATATTCTCCAGATCTGGCCCCAGCGACTTTTTTCTGTTCTCAGAACTCAAGAGAATGACCGCTGAAAGGAAATTCAGCTACGATGAAGAGGTAATTTTCAGCCTGTTTTGAGGCTGAATACAAATCGTACTTTAAAAATGACATCGAAAAATTGTATAACCGCTATAATCATTGTTTCGCCCTCAAAGGCGACTTAACAAAAAAAACGAAGTGAAAAATCTTGGGATTATTTATGATCACACTTTGTCATTTTCGAAAAATTTTTATAAAGTTTGTAAAAGGGCTAACAAAATGTTGGGATTTATTAAAAGATCTAGCTATCCGTTTTTGAACGTATTCACGATAAAATATCTTTATATCACACTTGTAAGACCAATATTAGAATTTGGTTCGCTCATTTGGAAATCCCAACCACAGATGCATCTGAACAGAATCGAAAAAATACAAAATAGGTTACTGAGATATCTATACCATAAAGAAAAACATTGTTGGGCGGATTACACAAAAGTCAGATCAATGTATTTGAGGCAGCATTTCAAAATATCATCTTCAAAATTTATATTAGACGGGATGTAACACAAATAATGTTTTTATACAAGGTGATGAACAACAATATTACAGATTTGATATAAACATACTCGAACTCATAGATTTTAATGTTCCTCAGTATCCTACAAGAAGTCCAATCCTTTTTAAACTACCCAAGGCAAGTAAAAAATTACTCCTCTCTCAACCATGCTTTGTAAAGCAAATGAAATTAATGTTTTAGAAAATTTAGATTCAGTAATTCCTTCTCAGGTTTCAGATATGATGTTATCAATTATTTATTAGAAATATAAATGTGATCGTAGAGAAAATGTTTGAAAATAAATATTTTAGTGTATATGTTAAGAAGTAAGTTCACACAATTAATTTGTAATGAAAATTTCCATGTAATTAGGCTGTTAAGTCAGTATGGAAAATAAAATAAATAAAATGAAATATTGAATGATAAAATCAAACTTTACCAAAAAAATGTTTTTCTATGTCAGCCTACAAACTTTTTAGTCCAACTGTTACAAAAATCCTACTTAGTTGTAAGATTTAATTTTAGTCATATCCTGATGGTGATAACTTGGTTAGCGAAACGCACGTCAGGAAACAATATTTTCATTTGTCATTTGGAAAAAGTGTTTTCATTACATTCATTTTTCATTCATAGGCAGTTCTGCCTATCAAGCTAAATCATTATCATAACAATGCCAGTTTTCTGAAAACTGTCATAGAGTCATAGAAAGCCATAGAAAAAAATCGGGGATTTCAACTTCACAGTGTTTCGAAAATTATTTGAACGCATGCAAACAAACGTCTATGAATTTCAATGGCAAATATTTTGAAAATAAAATA